GAGTAGCACCGACAGCACCCAAGCGTTTGGTGATCTCCTTCATACTCCTCTGCCAAGTCAAGGGTTGGCCACCTCTCTGTTTACACCACTCTGAACTGGGCATGAAAAACAGCACTCGCTTCGGCATACGCGACACATGTCCCAACCAAAGCAGCTTCTGGTGGTGGACACATTCTTCTATGGAAGTACCCGTTGCAAAACCAAAAACTCGCTTTCTAGCTGCCTCATCACGGATACGCCGGCACCAACCCACACGAGTTATAGTTCCGAGACAACGACTGTCAAACACCTGAAGACATATTTGTTATAAAACAATCCTTCAGTCATGTCTGCCAAGGATATATATTATTATTATAAGCCGTTACCAGCTAGCTAGAAGTGTCAGAAATATATCGATTCGACGCTGATTTTGGCGTTGTTCACCAGTTCCTCCGGAGTTGATATTGGCCCAAACACGTGCTAGAAACAGGGCCGGGAAGAACACGATCGGTAGCACGTTGGCCGCTACAAATTATCGCAGCGCGCCACCGCGTTGATTCAAAACAAGTAAAGTTATGTGGATAAAACCAGGTGCATAAAGGACGCTTGTCACCAAACATGCACTCACAGCGGCAACGATCGATACTCGAATTTCTTCTGCTGGTTTTCCTCCATTTTCACCTGGAACAGACAAGACGCTGTTCTCCAAGTCCTACCCTCATGCAACAATCAATCTTTACTCAGCTTTTGGCAGAATAGGACAAGCTACTAGTGTGACGGTGGATACTACTGATGGAGGCATGCGAGTAGTACGTTTTCTCGTAAATTCGCTTCGCATCTTTTGAAAAGTGAGATCTATTACGGAATTTGGGGAGTCGCATTTGCTTGCATTCGAGCAACAGTCAATGACTATCCAAGAAGGTTCAGGAAGACGCCTTCAAGGAGAAGATGGATATTCAGTTTTGTAAACAAGAAGCATACGAGAGTTTTGCTTCCCTGTCGAATGTCTGTAACTGTTCACGTGGCGTTTTCTAATGAATAACTCTCCAACGAAGGCCTTCTTCTTTTCACCCTCTTCTGAAAACACTAACTGGTTGCTGATAACAACAATATGCGTAGTATTCCAATATTATTATCGTTAGATGACTTACATTGTTCCTGTGGGACGCACAGGATTAGGAGACCGTGCGAAGGAATAAGCCAGTCACGCAGTTCGTGTGGATGGTGGGCCAAAGTGTATGAAAATCTTTTATGGCCACTCGGCAGGGTGTCAGACAGCTTGATACAACCAAACCAGACGTAAACTGGAGAACTAAGAAGCAACGTTTGCTGAAGGACAGCTTCCATGAGCCAGTCCAGTCCGACAGCTAGAAACCACGCTGTGTGCCAACAAACAGGATACAATGTACATGCTTGCAAACGAACATTCACACGTATATGTGAAAACTTGATCTCACTTGATGCAACAGTGAATGGCTGTCAAACGAAGACAGGATGTGGCCCATCTCATGTTGTCCATCGAGCTAGATGGCAACAGGGCGGGGTAGGGCGCAAAGTGCCTTTTTTCTCCAGAGGTTGGCTGCAGCAACCTGCGTATCTGCTGACCAAGTGGCTGAAGGCTGTCAGATACAGGCGAAGGCTATGGGACCGGTCGAGGCGCCGTGTTTATAAACGAGGGACTTGCGGAGAACTAGTTTCTTTTACTTGAAAACCAAGTAATGATTACCGGAGAAAATCAGCAAACTGTGAGTTACCGACACAGTAAGCAGAAGGATCAAATCATCTTCAAATTTGGGGAGGGTGATGCTTTTAAAATTCCAATTGAACTGGCCGAAATTTGAGGATGCGGTCTCTTTCTTTGCTGTTTATGTCACCACAAGTTTCTTCACCATGCAATTTTTACTCGCGGGTGTAACAATATGGTTAAATGATACGTGTGTGCGAGAGTTAGCGAGATGGCCAAAGTGGTTAGAGCGCGAATTTACTGACCGGAAGGTCCGTAGTTCGAACCCGACCCCTGCCTCTCGACTTCCTCTGACTAGGCTTGAGCAACCTGGCAGGATCCCAGCCCTCGTGTTTCCTTTGGGTGGCATGGCAGTCAAGAACCAGAAGGGTGCTACAGCTGAATGACTACGGCAGTGAAGCATCGGTGTTGAACACCGATGTCATGCTGTCGATGATGATGATTATGTGTACGAGAAACAAGTACGAAACAAGAGTTTCAGATGGGTTCAAACTGGGTCTTCCGTTGAAACCACATTGGTATGCAAACGGGTGTATTTCGCTTACGTCGTGAAATTTCGATTCAAGTAGAACATCAGGCTGACGGATTCTCAGAGAGTGCGACTACCTGATGAGCTCCAAGAAGGCTGTGGGCTGTTGAAGAATTTTCAGTAACCTTATGAGTAGTGCATTACGTCTATGCATGCATGCACGCAATATCTCGAATATCGTAGCAACTGAAACATGAGGCGGCCCGATACAAAGCATTCAGTTGCTTAAGGACTTCATGAACGAAATGATTAAGTGGGTTCCAGGTCAGCCTCCTACCAAAACCAACTTGGTACGCAAGTGAGTTTAGTCCACGAAAAGTGAACCAGTAATTCGTAAACAACTCTGTTCCTTTCAAATGAGAACTACTCCAAGAATGTGATCTTTCTCAAATGAAGGAGAGTATAGAACTCCTGATTTGTTTTCAACCAAGTTCACGAGTGTGTACCAGCCGAGCCTCATCGCGTGACCCCTTGTTTTAATCAATAAATTATTGATTTGTACTTGTTTGGGCCGGGAAACAACGAGAATAGCTAATGAACACGAAATAACAAACACGAAACCTTGGAACAGGGAAACGGGTAGGAACTAGAAACAATTTTTATTAAAAATTAATCAGATAGAGAAGACTAGTACATAGATTGTCTTGAAACCCCCTTGGAAAGCGTGCAACAAATAGAACGTGTTTGAAAACAAGCACACGGTGGGAACGACGGCATACAAGTACACATCTTGTTGCATAATCAAAAGGACGATATAGTGAACGAATTGGAACAAGACAATGGGATTGTCTGGACTGGTTTCGAAGCCGCAGGCACTGGGATTTATGTGGTGAAAAGGGGGACGCCCTGGAATGGGAGACGATCGCGGTGGAGACAACATAAAGACGGTCACACGAACAAAACATTGAGTGAATACCAACAAGGAGCATGCGTAGAAAGCACGGAAGACCAGCTTTGAGGACAACGAAAACCCTATATATATATATATATATATATATATATATATATTCAGGCAATCCTAGTACCAAGGTTCGTGGTATCTATGATGCGGGGATCGTGGTCAGCCTTGGGACTGAGAGTGCCCTACTCTGTTTCTCTGTACTTCATTTAAGATCAGTCTGCGTCGATACGTTAAATGGTGTTTATTTATCGTGTCAGCATGCGCTCCTCACAGACTAAGGTTATGAAACTGAGAAAGGTTGATGTTATCAAGATCTGTCACCGCTACTTTAGTCAACAAGAATGACGGATAAAGTCATCCTGGCGGGTGACACTAACACCCAATTTAGACTAATAGGTCCGGAAGAAGCACGATCGGGTTGTAAATTTGGAATTGATGCTTATCCAACGGATAGTGGGGAGCTACCTCTTCAGTTTTGTTCGGTACTTCTTCTGTTCCTGGCAGTACATACTTTCGGCACATGTGCTTACATCGCAAATTGACTCCGATTCTCACTATGCGGTCTTGATCATCAGTTCCCCTTCCCTCAAGATCACACACCGAAGGGGAACAGTTCTGTTCATCAACTTTAAAGAATTTCAGTAGCTCAGTGGTATCGAGCTGATCTGGCAGGAAAGCTTCTGGAAATGCATGGACACATTGACTAAGACTGGCTAGAAGATGAAAGGAGAAGGTGAAAGAAGCTTTGCTCTCAAGTTTTCGAAGTGTCTTTCCAAGCCAGCTCACCGTCGAAAGCAGAAATTTAGAGCGTGATATCACCTATTCAAAGGGACAAGGTGGTGAAGCCCTGATAAGCGGTCTGGCGCTACCACTGTAGAAGATTCGGAACGAACACAGAATACTGGTGGAATGGAGCACTTCTACCGTGATTCTTCCAACTCTCAAAAGTGGCGCAAGAACGTAGTGCGGAAACAACCGTGGCATCATATATACATATATATCGTTCAGCTGCAACACCTTTTTGGTGTCTAGCTGCCGTGCTACCCTAAAGCACGAAGGCTGGAGCACCGCCAGGTTGCCAAAGCTTAGGCAGGGAAAGTCGAGATGCAGAGGTTGGGTTCGAACCACGAACAACCCAGACAGCGCGAGTCAGCGTTGATCAAGGTCAGTCAACGCCCCCGCAATATGCAGCACGTCGCAGCCAGACCGTGTGCGTCAGCATTGGACCGAGTTCACACAGTGTCCCTCCAATAAGTAGCTTGAGACCGCTGTACATTCGCACTCGCACGCACTCACGCTCTCGCACCCGTTTTGTTGGAATATAACTGCTGTGTTCCCTCCCGTGAGTCTTTTCTCTCCGACACTAGGCACTGGAGCGGGTCAGCAGCAGATACGTCAGATTGGCGAATCAGCAGATATAACAGAATTCGATAGCTTTAACTCCCTTCAATAAATTTAGTGCCCTTTCTCTGAACGAAGCCTCGCGTTACCTGCGGTTTTTTGGTGACATACAAGTATTTTCAAAAAACGGGTCGAAACCGGTCACTTCTGAGTGATCACGGTATTTGTAGCTTCCTGTGACAAAACCAAATCAGTAGTTTGTAGAGTAAATCAAGATAAGATTAGCGGAAATTCGAGAGTACCTTCAGCGAATTCGAAGGGACTTTGTAAACGATCAGGTAAACTATTGTTTAGGCAACAACAATCTAAAGTCGTTTGTCCCAACAAACCTATAGGGTTGGGTAGCCCTGTAACGAGACTGCTTATCAGCTGATCGTGTCCGGACGATGAAATGCTCAAAGTAGTACTAGGCAGACGGTTGCGACTTCAAAACTCCTTTGAGCTTTCTGCGGTGCAAAATGTTGATGATTTCCGACAAGAATAAACAGTTTTATAACGAACCAAAATGAGGAAACTGTCTCTCTGGATCCAAGCAAGCTAGTGGGACTTAACTCGGTAACCTCATCGAAACGCTGGAAAAAACGTGGGTACATCACGCAAAAGGCAGAGGGAACTTACTTCTCGAAACGATAGTTGGGACTTCGGGTTCCGTGCAAGGGACACACGCAGAAACAGGAAGGCGACTCGTTTGGGGCCACTTTGATGGTTGCGAAAGTGTGCTCAAGTTTTGGCCGTTGTTCCGATCGATACGAGCTACTGCGATGGAGAGCGCGTGCCGCTGCCTCAGCGCCTACCTGTGCAGCCTTAAGCCGATGAGCAGTGAGTGTATCGAGAGGAGCAGGTGTGGAAAATTGTGGATGGTTGGAAGACATCCGCGGGTGATAATCGATAGGCGGACAGGGTGGGTACAAGCGGCGATAATTAAATGCAGCAACACTACTCATGGCGGTCTGGTGGCACGCTATTGGTCGGAAACGCGACTCAAATCAGGCTCGGAGTGTACACCATTCCATGCCTGTTTGCACAGTGGAGCAGAGGGTTCCGAGGGTATGTAACGAATCCTGTAGGCAAATTGGAAGTGAACAAAATAGACACCTCAGAACAGACCATGATAGAAATTCTATCGAAGGTCGGCAATGCAGTGAGAAACTCGTCTTATGGTGCAGTGAGGAACCAACAAAAATGGGGCACCCTCCAGAAGGAAAGGACCGTGCCCACTAAAATCATTTGCATATAAGGGCAGAACGAATAAGGAGACAGTTTATTTTGAAATTCGTTTCGCGTGGTATCCTCTTGATGCACAGATTCGGGTGCATGCACTGACAACCGACTGAAAATTCGAATTTAGGTATCGGTAGCAGTATAGTCAGTGGTGCAACTAAACGTCAGTGGTGGTCGATCGATTGACACCAAAAATTGATGAGGCACGGTCAGAGCGCGGTTAGACGGGTAATTTTCTCATCAACTGTTTGAATTCAAATAATTGTAAAGCTAGCTGATATCTGTTGCTGCGATTGGCTAACCGGAATACATTTCAAGGGATCCCATCAGTTCGCCTCCAATTGTGTTGCGTTGTGGTCTGTATTCCTGCCATTCGATTGGTACCTTGAGTAGCTTCTGTCCGGATACTCTTCGTTGCTGGATAATAAAAGTTGAATTTTCTAGGATCTACCCCGACATGGCCTATTTAGAAGCGTACCGATTAGGTTTTTGGTGACCACTTTGTCGCAAGGCCAACTGTCTGAAGCATTTACTCCTCGGTAATTGGGTCTTTCATTTTCACCAACGTCTTCTGATATACGGCACATCCTTGGTTGAAGATGATACTATCATCACCAGAAGGTGTTCTGTTCCACCGGCAAAGTAGCACCTGCTCTAAATAGGGAACACAAGTTCGATAAAAATTTTAAACTGCCCACTAACGGTTTCGCCCTTCTTGGGGCTCATCAGTGAAGCCCAGACTCCTAAACGGCACCAAACTGTCCAACCTGGAAATAAATTGTACCCATTTGACTTGATATTGACAGAAGGCAGTCGAAACTCACATGGAATATCCCAAGCAAAACATACATCGATAGCCTAAATAGCGTTACAGCTGACACACGAGGTAGTCTCTGTGCAGCACGTTCACTTTGAGAATACGGCTACTTGAACCTCCGGGCGAAATTTGGTTGAGTCACCCATTAACACCAACGTATATTGCAGAGGGAAGTTATCCCTAATAAAATCTGGTTTCAGGGCATGGCGCCACATCCCTACACAGATAACGAAGGTGGCTGAGAGTTTTAGTACCGCATTCGCAGCAGATGGATATGTACCAGGTGCCATGGGGTTGAATGACGATTTGTACAGCTAACTTATGCAGTGTTGTGTATCCCCGAATCTGCATCTGCAAGCAAGCTGGCAGCAAACTGCACCATCCAGAATAAACATGGGTCTTATAGACGTCCTTTGACCGAGCAGACGGCCCCTGTAACGGCATCCGCCCTAAAGCCACTCTATATGACCTCTCTACTTTGGATTAAAGATTATCTGATCATTGGAAATGTCCGATAAGATTCAGAGGAGGCAAATCGATAGATCGACTGTTCACAGCCGCACTTCGCATGAGTCTGTCTTTGATCCTGCGCTGTTTTCGATTTACTTCAAGGGTCGGTCTACAGGTATCCTATCTGCATGCCTAGCCTATTGCCGATGGCACTTGTGATTTTCAGAGCTACTCAGACTGACCTACGTCGGTTCTAGTTCGTCCGTCGCATCCAGTCTTCCAAGAGGCGGGGTCCGCAATACCTGCGTGCGCATGTACATCAGTAAGGAGGCCGATATTGCGATCGCCAGTCCGACTGGAAGTGGCGCAATGTGACTGTGACCCAAAAGACTGCATAGCATCAGCGACAAGCATGTTTGGTCGTTGACTTATATTCCTTTACCCAACTACATTCGGCCAGCGGGACACCGCTTCACCCATCGAAACTCGGATGTTATTAAGCTCTCATCGAATACGCCTTCGCCATACGAGGTTGTTAATATCTCGAACTTGCTGTCTGTTGTTCTTTATGGAGGGATGAGCGACAACAATTTCAAAGGTTCGCGAAACGCGTTCTCGGCAATCATAATCGATCGACACAACCAAATGGGGAAGTGGGGCTCATCTGGATTTCCATGATATCTTCGACCAAGTGAATATTGAATGTGCTCACAGGTTGCTATTCAGCCTGGCGATGGAAACTAAACTGCGTCGACAAGTCACGTTTAACAGTATTGAGCAGTGGATGAGGGCTTCAGCCTTCACACAATGTTTTTTATTGGCTACTGACCAATCCAGTTCTGTAACTCACGTGACTAATCAGCATGAGGTCAAATCAAGGGTAGGCAAGCGCTGATGTACATTCAACACCATCGGGCATCGCGGTTACTACCGGAAATGGCTCCATTTTTTTACGATAACACCCAGAGGATTAACAGATTTGTTCAGAATGAAATTCACCGAATGATCTCAACCACAATTTGATTAACTCTCGGGCACACTGTTTCTATGATTAGAAAAGACTAAAAAGGTTCATCTCAAACACGGTTGGAGGAGTACTCAAATAGACTACTTGCTGGGTCGAAATGGATGGGGTGTGAGTGTACTATTAGGCCGTTTGATTTTGATCGCAGCCTCTTCTGAATGTGGATGGAAATCAGGGAGTACAACCCAGCCAGCCAGTTCACATGTGTACTTGCACTGTAAGCAATTTCAACAAGGTTGTCTTTTGGTAAGGTGAGGAGGTAACTTGATGGCTAAGGAGGTACCGTAGGACCTTGCGGGATCCAATTGGGATGCTACTAACTGATGTGGGCTCAGCTCCTGCCCCAACAGAACACACTGTAGAGAGGACGTTCGTGGGTGCCTTCCTCTAGGAGGGACAGAACCTCGGATTGCAGTTGACAAGTCATGCTCGTGACCACTGCATGCCTTCCGAGTGGGTATCTATCAAGAGTTGTGTCGTTCTCGAAAAAAGCCCACTGTTCGTCAGCAGATGTTCGACATCGAGTTTGCTACAAGCTGATCGGTCGTGGTGTTCTCACTGACAGTGCGCAATAAGGAGTGTTGCTGGGGATTCGAGCTTGCATTTGACGGGGGAAGTTAAATGCAAACATAATTCTGACGAAGTCGGTAACTTGCACATTGTTGCGAATAAGTCAGTACTGTTTCTATTATCAAAAACGCAAACTTTATCGGGTATTGATCAGATTACTTCATCACAATGAAGCATACCGCAAAGTGCATATTAGGTAACAGTTGTCATGTATCGTTACCGTGCGGTACAATTGGGTGACCAGTCTTAGCACTTGCGCATTAGGACTTTTTGTTGCTCTGATTGGAAAACTTTCTAGTTGAGGCTAGAATCGAATCAGGTACGGAGATCCACAAATTCACCTGCTTTGTTCGATTCACTTGAAACGTATCTATACAGCTTTTGCTTTCAAAGATATAGACATGTTACCATATGTTGGAATATTGGCACCTGGAGTATCTTCATTGGTAATTGAGGAAGTGACTTGGCAATTGACTTGCATACGTTTCTCGCCACTCGAGGACATATCATCAGTGCATGAATGAGACACCGATGGCGATCGGACCAATCAGACTCCAAGTGAGATAACCATCAATAGCCAATCAGGCGGTAGTTTAGCGCCACATTTTTTCAAACCATATAAGCGCAAGCACGAAGAGGAGAACCACCAGCGTATTGGAACTGTTTCCTTGAATGGTGACGAAATGTCTGTAGGTCACTTGCCAAGCTTGATGAACAGACCAAAAGTCACCAAGTTTTCGTGCTGGCATCCACATCCGAACTATCAAAAATAGTTGCCATGGGTTAAGTAAATATTCACCGTCGCTAGGCAAGAACTCCACGAGTGTTTCCAAATGGTATTTCCTTTCTAAGAACTTCAGTCCATCAGGAACAAAGAGATCACCGTACCGACCCATTTCGACTGTCGAATCAGGAACAAAGAGATCACCGTACCGACCCGTTTCGACGGTCGAATTCGAGCTTTCGCACACTAACGAATACTGCGTATTCTGCGTGCCCATGTCCCCTCGTGTAGGTTACGCTTAAACATGGGAAATTCCTCACCTTGCACATGAGGAAAAGATCAAAGTGGTTGCTGAACTCGAGTACCTTTTGTCTCGAGAATGAGAGTAACTTTCAAGTTCAATACACCTGTTACCTAAATGAACCTAAATGAATGAAAGGTTTATACTCCTCTTGATATTTTCAAGTGGTAGATGGACAGGTATGAAAAAATTGTCACTTTCGATCTGTTCACTATTTACCCCCGTTCGAGCTCCAAGTGTGAGAGATGAAGTGCCTTCACTTAACTGTTTCAAATGAACTGTTGAGCTCGATAACACATCTCGCTAGTGAACATCACTCACAATGGTTGGGACGAAAACGCGACCACTGGTTGAAACAAATCACCACACTAAAGTCTTGACTTCTTGGACGAACATCACTCACAAGGTTACTCAAAAACTCTCCAAAGGCAACCCTATGAGTACTGTTCCCTGAAGAGAGCATCGTTTTAACACTCCGCTTAAGAACACCCTAAACGCAAGGTTTAGCTGCGTTTCAGTTGGCTCATCTGTTTAAAACAGTTTAGCATGCAAATGAGTGTATTTTGCCAGTCTTTTGGTTTAATAGATGATGTACATGATTACGGCATACGATTTGATGTTTCCACACTTTTTTACAATAAATCTAAACAGTTTAGTGATCAGAGAATCCCACATTGAGTGGCTGCGTGGACACTTGCCGATAACTAATCCTTCTGCTGTAACAGTGTATAGCTGGCGTGCCGTTCGATGGAAGCACAAGGGCTGAGATGATATGTTGCCAAGCCCAGACAAGAGCAGCTGAGTTTCGGGTTCGAACCACAGACCTTCTGGTCAGTAACTTTAGTGCTTAGGCACTAAAAATAAAATACAGTTCAAATAGGATTGCGTGCATCATATTCGCATTGACGAACAGCTATCCGCGGTGGAATCGTAAAGTGTTCACCTACTAACCGAAATGCTACAGGCCCGCATCTCTTAGGAGCCTCATGGGCTGTGCACTGTTGGTGACACACAGGAGCTGTTTTTACCATCACCTGTTACACAGAATCACTGTTTGAAACGCAAATTTTCTTCACTACTCGCAAGTTAAAAGTAACACTCTCAGAAGTGAGGAAACATCTTAGGGCTTATGGGTTTTCAGCTGACACCAAATCATGTGGTGGGAACTGAGAGATCAGAGAATGACAGCATTCTATCTTTCAAAGTATAACCACTGGTCCATGGTAAGTCCCACCTGACATCTGCAAGAGTTGGTCAGATTTATCGCATTCGCTTATCCAACAAAAAAACTGCATAAAATTCTATTCTACAGAACGCAGCTCAGTGACGAATGCTGCTCTAGTAGAGAGGTTTCAGTAACAAGAAGTGGTCCATTAGCAACCTACCAACTTAATCCCACAATGTGCGGAAGTTCGAATGTCGAACCATGGTGGGATACATTCGTTATGAATTGTATCGAAGGAAAGACATTCTTTCGGGGGTCTCGCATCTTTAGGATGATATAAACGAGAGCAAATGTGCGGTGGGGGTATGCGAGTAGTTTTTCTCGTAAATCCGCTTCGCGTCTCTTGAAAAGAGATATTTATCACGGAATTTGTGGAGTCGCTTTTGCTTGCATTTGAGCAACAGTCAATGAATATCTAGGAAAGTTCAGGAAGACGCGTTCAAGGAGATGTATATTCAGTTTTTGTAAACGAGATGCATATGAGAGTTTTGTTCCCTTGTCCAATAGTCTGTAACTGTTCAGTTGGTGTTTTTCTAATAAACAACTCCGCAGCGAAGTCCTTCTTCCTTTCATCCCGCCCAACTTAATCCCACAGTGTGCGGAAGTTTGTAGGCTTTTTTTCGGATGTCGAACCATGGCCGGATACATTCGTTATGAACTGTATCAAAGGGGAGGGACATCCCTTCGGGGGTCTCGCATCTTTAGGATTGTATAAACAAGGACAAATGCGCTTGTGTTATGCGACTCACTGTTTACGTCCAACAAGCAATTAGTTCCCCAATGTTTATCCCAAACGGGTTTTCCAGGCTCACTGTCGATCAAACAAGTTTCCGTGTTGCTACTATCAATATATACATATAAACATGCTAGAGTGGAGATTATGAATATCAGGTGGTGTGAGATTTACTCACATTCGGAGGTTTTGGACAGCGAATAGCCCGAACCATTTGTGTGCAAGTATGTATGTAACCTAATATGTTTGATCCGTGTCATGGGTACGCTCGATCGTTCCCTAATCTGACAGCTTCTCCAATTTTCTGAAGCTACGAGTGATCGACTATTACCTATAAAAAGCAACATGAGTTTTGTTTGTGGATGATCACCAGCAAGACCCTCTGAGGCATGAAAAGAGCAGAGCTTGTACAAGAACTTATAGAGCTTATACAAAGAACGTTTCAATGAAAAACAAAACGCATGTTAGACGTGGGTGGCTGTTGTATTGGCGGAATTCACGTTCACATCACACTCGCCTTCACAGTCCCCAAACTGTCCTGGCGCGATTATTCTGATGAGTCCATAGCCAAGGGAGGAAGCATTTAATTAAGCAATCGCGAAGTGCCAGGTTGATTCGAAACCGGTCATTGGTTGAAGCCCAAGCTACTCGCCCACCAGCTGTTGGTCCTCAGTGCTACTAACCCGCATTCAGATAGTATACGGCATATGAGATTCACATCACGTGGTCACGTGTTAACTGATCCCCGGTTTAATGAATTCTGATGTAACTTGTGAATTGTCGGTACCCCTGAACTACTTATAATTTGTTAGTAACCTGAAGAGGCTTTGAAATTTCAACAGACGTAAAGTGCTTCCCCGCATGGACTGGCTCCAAATCCAGGACGAAATCTCTCCAGTGCTTTAAATCCTTTAGATTTCCGATCATGTTCACATGACAGCCTTCCGAGCTTTGAACTCCGCACAACGCAGAAACTACCAGATGCTTGAAAACTCACTATGAGATGGGACGAGTATTGTATCACAACCTTTCTAAAGTTTGTATGACCATGGATAAATGATAACATATCGATAGAACCGTCGCCTTACACTCAGAAATCCGGAGTTCCAATCGCGACACATCTAAGGATACCAGCTGGCAAACTCCAACAAGAAGAAAGCTCGAATTCAGTGGTTTCCCACGTTTGATCGGATCATCCCGAATAATTGCGTCAGAACAAAGGAAATCGTTCAAACGAGGGTGTTGTGTGTGTGCAAATTCTACACTTTTCGCAACGCCCTAGGACTGGTTTTTCCACGGTTGAATTGAACGGATGTAAACAGCTGGAGAACACCACTTGACCAGGTGGAGGTCTTGCAATCCTCTTGGTGGAGCATCCTCGTTTGAAATGAGAGAACTAGCTGGCTGAGTTTCCCTCATCGTCACAAAGTGGAAACACAGATGTGCATTGCAGATGAAACTTAGATAAGTGCGAGTTAATTGCATTAGACACTCGTAAGGAAAAATGTTGATGCGTTCAAACTACTGGCATCGTATACTTTGTTGAATTGAACTTACTCGAAACTGCCCGATTCCAAAACCAGTCGACGCAGCAATAGGCGTGCTTGGAATTCGGAACGATGTCTAAAGTTGCAGCCAGCAACACCTACAATCCAGTCACCCGGCTCTGGTAAAGGCAGTCTTGAGGACACACGTGGTTCGACCATCGAAGTCACTCGATAGCACGATCCCGGCTGTCGCTGCTTTTCTATAACCCGATGAAGTGCGCTACCGGGGGTTATACTCATCAAACGAATGCCTTTGGGGCCACCGTTCTCTGCGTCCAGTTCCAAGCCTTTGCCAAAAATAGTAAAAAAAACAAGCGGTCACACCTGGACTGCACACACGTGGATTTAGTAAGGCACACTTTTGTAACATAGATACTGAGAGATGTGATGTCCCACTGAGCTCAGTTTTCACAGTTTTACACTGTGTGTCCCCTCAAACGAAACAGTGTCTCGAAGCACAGAAAAGAGAAAAACGGTTTTTGGTACCCTTGAATAGTGATTGGACAATGTAACCAAGCCACATAACTAAGAAGACGTACCCAAAAATTCCCCACATTGTTTGAAGATGTGCACAGAAAAGCACTGCTCATCGTTGTGAAACTTCACTTCTGGCGGTGGTAGGTCGTCAGTCACCTGACTTTTTACCCTCCTTCTGGTAAATGCGAAGTCACGTGGACGCAAAGGAAGCTGAGAAACAGAAGGGGGAGGTGACTGAATGGATGCGACGCGGGCAGGCATCGGAAGACGGGAAAATAAACAGCCATCGGGATCCAAAGGAACGTTTGATACAACTGCAGACTGGGGTCGTTCTTTGAGCTCAATGTGGACTGGCAGTTCTCGTCTTTCGCGATAGATGTTCTGGTGACGTTGTGGTAGTTCCAATACTTCCTGCAGAAGTGATTTCACACCGATTAGACTCCTTCGAGAAAACTCCACAAAATCAATAATTTCAGTTCAACGTATGATCTGACATGCCATCAGTTCCGTCATAAACAAAATTTACTTACAAACTCTTTGCTCCAACACAGTCCAGATGACTTTGCGAAGGCTTGTTATAAAGCAGTCGCTGTTTTCGAACAGACTATGCCAAATATTAAAAAAAGGCGGAACAGGTGGATTGAAACATTTTGATTTAAACCAAGATGTCATTATGGTTCAGCTCAGTCGGGCCTTGTGGCATTTGTTTAAAGGAATTCTGGTGTTCAGTTCATATCAATCTCGTTTAAACAGTCTTCCTCCTCTACTGGTGTATTTATTCTGGTCAGTTTACACCAAACGGGGGGAGAAGCACTGGATTCGAGTTTTGCCCTCAGTAGAGCTCATCAGTAGTGCATATCCAATGACCATGCCGGAAGTTGAACCGAGGCGAGGATGTAACCACTACTCCATCATCACAGGCCGGACGAAGTTGAATTTTCGCTTCTGGACTACCGAACTCGCTGTGACAATCATCAACAGCATGGGCTACTGATATACAAGTACCGTTTCTTGATACGATAGACCCGCGGGGTTCTGATACATCTTCGGCGGATATCAATCGAATGAAAACACATTCTGTTGAACAATATCACAAAAAAGAGATTAGTTTAATCCCTTGTCAATACTAAATTGTAAAAATGTGTTTCTCTGCACTAATTTTCATGTGACCGAGTGCGTCATAAGACTGATGAAGGTATGGGGACTAAGCCTACCTTCGACCACCCCCGGAAAATGACACAGCCTGTGATGAACTGTCGAAGCGTTGTCTTCGTTTAATTAGTGGTGTCCTACCGAGGAATTACACAACGCTTTACCCTCTAAATAAAGACAATCTACGACGAAGAGAACCTCTGGGCATTCATTGGTTGGATGGTAGAACCCCTTGGAACCAGACAACGAACAATTTCTGGACCAGATGAATGAAGGGTAAGACCTTGTCGCAGAGCATCCTGCTATAACGGACACCAGAACGCACTGCTGTCTACCACTCGCTGGATTGCTAAACAGCTCAATTGCCTCCAACTTCAACTATTTAGCCGTCATACATATAGCCATCTTTTGATTCCTTCTATGGATCAACGGTGGTCGGCGGTTATTTTTCCGCTTCGTTCTGGCTACTCATGAGTAGCGTGATTTACGAAGCCGTTTCGATCCAGCTCGCTACCCCGGTTTTCACACCTGCTTGAGGTCTACTTATTCTCCAGTAACTGATGTCAAGATTTGTTACATGTTCGTTTTCGCCTTCAAGTTCGTGCCAGCTCCACCTACTTTCGAATATCCCCTCTGACGGAAAAAACGAACCCGTGGTGAAGTTCGGACATCATTGTACTTAGAATGACCTCAACATTGATGAATCACCTGCACGACTACGAGGTTCATGGGTTCGTCAAGGACACCTGTATGAATTTGGAATTCGAAATCGAAGTCTTGATGCCGTTCGGGGTAACGAGAACACTAGGAAAGGCTGTTTGATCGCTCACCGACATACAAGTTGGCGCTGAACTCCTTACAAGATTTATCCGGAGAAAACGCGTTGATTTGCCTAGTACTATGTAGTAGGCTGATTGACTCGTCCACCGAGTTGGGTAACTTTTCTAAAACGAACCTGTCAAGCTTGACAACCAATTGGCCGAGATGAGCTTCGGAGAGCATTTTGGTGGTTAGCTCCGATAGCCTTCGATAATCCAATAAACAACGCGCCTGACATTTATCTGAACGGGACAGTCCCCCACGTCCATTATCACTGAAATCCACCCATCGCATGGGTTGTTGTAGAGTTTTTCCTGTCATTAGTCGAATCTCCCGCTGTCTACTAAGGGGAAATCATTACCAGACCAAAATAGGGTGGATGTAGTCGAGAAGTCTATCACTATCAAGGTGTTTATCACGAGGCACGAATAACCGATAGCTGTGACAGATGTTTATCTTCACTCCGCAATTTACGTCACACAAAGTTTTCTGTCCCAAGCCCCTGCTTCTAGATGTTTGGAGTGTTTCTTTCTTAGTGAAATAGAAACCACTTCACTCAACGTTTACTTCTTAGTTGGGACTTATCCAGTAGACTAACTAGCATCGGTCTCGTGACGTCAACATTAACGACCATAAAATCGATTTTGTCTGTACGTCATCTAATCCCAGGTCACAAATGAATAAATCTCAACAAGCATTTGCTGCGCTTCCCCTTCAAATTTAACGTTCATCTACGATCCAAATACCTCTTTCGACATTGTGAGCAGGAGAGCTGTGAAACATCGGTTTATGAGGGGAAAAGAGTTAGTGTAGGTTGATTTCTTGACGCCCAGGCGTGCAATTCCATGTAAACTGGTTTCAAGTAGAACATAAGGTTGACGGAAACGCGGGAACTGCGGCTACCTGATGAGCCCCAAGAAGGGCGAAACCGGTCGTGGGCTGTCGGCGAATTTTCAGCACTCTTCACCATCATCATCATCAATGACAGCAACATCAGTGTTGGCACTGATGCTTCACTGCCGTACAACCATAAAGTTCGTTTAGTTATATATATATATATATATA